CACAGAGGAGAAATAGGTATAGCAGCCAAGAGGACAAAGGTACAAAAGGGGCAGGTAACCAAAATGTCTGGATTGTTTAGATAAGAGCCTCTGGGGGAAGGCCAGCTGAGGCTCCTGGGTTGGAGAGTTCAGGGTAGAGGGCAGGGATTGTCAGCCACACCATATAACAGGTAGGGGTGCTGAGAACCTGGAGGCCGGGTTCACTTTGATATGTTAATTAGGCACCTCAACCATTTGCTCTGGGACTTGAGACTTAACAGCCATATACCCATGCTTTTTAAAAATTTTTGTGCTTATTACTACTAGATAGTATGACAGGTTGAAATCCTGATTAATGTGTTACCTTTTGGGCTGAGAAGGTGATTTATCAGTACAGTTATGTGCTTTTAGAATTCAGAGAATTTTCACTGTAGCAGATGGTGATAAATCAAAAAGCAGGCTGTAGGCTGCATGGCTGTCTATCTCGGCCAGTGTGGCCTCTATCGTGCTGATGTCCACCAGCGTAGGTCATTCTTTGAGCTCTCCTCTGATGTCTTTCTGTCTCTCTTATTTTCTTTCTCTTGTGTGTATAAATATACAACATCACTTTCTGCATTTTTCTTGGGAGCACTTCCTAAATATATTATCTATCTTTCATCATTGATTCCATTTTTGGTACTGTCATACATAAGTTTGATTTTCTCTGTAACTATTGCTTTTACTGTAGCGTTTTTACGTGTGTTCATGTGTATGTGCATTCCTATGGGTGTCAGAGGTTGACATTAGGTCTCTTCCTGGATCACTCTCTACCTGCTTTTTCAGACAGTGTTTCTCACTGACCTAGAGCTAGCAGATTTGGCTAGGCTGGCTAGTTAGCAAACCACAGAGATCCTCCTGCTGCCTCCTCCTCAGTTCTGGAATTGAAAGTGTTTTAATTGTGCTTGTGGGGATGCAAACCCAGGTGCTCATGCATAAGTAGCAAGCACTTTATGGACTGAGTCATCACCCCAACCTGTGCAGCTTTTTAAAAATCTCTTCTTATGTGTTATTTTTAACAAATGCACAAAATACTAAGTTTCATTATGGTATTTTTACGTGTATATCTTTATTTTTTTCCTAATATATACCCCTTCCCTGCTGCCTTTCCATGCGGGATCTTCTTTTTTGGGGGAGTCAGTGTTTGCCCCCGTGTGCACCGAATCTAAGGAGAACATCAGGTGTCCTGCATCTACACATGAACGTGCATTCCCTCTCTCTCTCCCCCTCCTCGTTACTCCCTTTGCACAGGGTCTATTGATCCTGGAGCTCACTGGTTTGTTTATTGTTTTGTTTTGTTTGTATTTTGAGACAGGTCCCAGTGTGTAGTACTGACTAGCCTGAAAAGGGTGTGTGTGCTGCTAGCCTTGTTTGTTTGTGAAGCTGTTTTGTTTTTCGTGACTTCTTTTTTTCAGTTGAGGATGGGTGACTGCTAGTTCTTACATCACCTAGCAAGCTAGAGTCATTTCAGAGGAAGGGAACCTCAACTGAGAAAATGCCGCCAGGGTCTGGGCAGATACCTGGGGCTACGCACACTGCTGCTGGGGCCTTGCTGATCTGAGTGGCCTGTGCTGCCGCCACCCTGGGCCATGTGACATTTGCAATTTGCACTGTAACTACTGCTGAGGGTCATGTCTAGGTCTGTGGTCCTACACCAGGCAGTGTTTGAGTAATGTCCATGGCTTCTGTTACCACCGGAGGCCATGTGGACACTCAGGGTCTGGTCAGCCACCTGAGACCATGTTGGTGTACAAGGGCCATGCTGCCACCGGGGCCACCCTCATCTGGGTGGCCTGTGTAGTCACCAGGGCCATAGTGACATCTGGACCCAAGCTACTGCTGAGGGCCATTTTGGGGTCCATGGTCCTGCTGCAGCTGGGGTCTGTTTATCTCCATGGTCTATGTTACCACAGGGGGTCGTAGAAACCATAAGTGTTGAAATCCAAGGGCAGTGCTGAGAGAGCTGGCCTTGCCCCTTCTGGGAGAGCTGGTCCCACATTCAGGAGAGATAGCTCCACCCCTCTCCACAGGGATAGAAGGCTGGAGAGTTGGCCCTGAAGGTATGGGTGTAGAAGAGCTGGCTCTGCCCCTTGCCTGAGGGGCAAAAACTGACCAAATCAGCTACCACCCAGGCCCACCCCAGAATCTACCCAATCTGTCCTGCCAGAATACATGAAGAGACTGGTTCTTTGAACCCTAGCTGCAGCACCTCCATCACCGGGGCAACAGCAGGATATTGGCGAGGAGTTTTGGTGAGGGTCCAGTATTGATGTCCCAGAAGCCAGAGACCTTGAACTAGATCCAACAACATTTGCAAGTAAAGCTTGAAAGACTCTTCCTTCGGGAGAGACCCCGTGCCCAAAGATCACGCAGCCGGATGCAAACTGCAAGAGGTTTATTGGATACGCAGGTACCTGGGGCGACAAAGTCTCTCGGAGGACTTGCGCGCCCACAGGTTGGGGGTGAGGGGTTCTTATAGGAGAGCAAAAAGCGAGGTTTACAGAAGCAAGATGCAGGGTGGTAAATTCTTAACCTAAATAACAATGAGGGGACTACTCAGCGGTTTACTGTTCCTCCTATCCTGCCCCCCTTTCCTGGCTGGCGACCAGATGTCTGATTGCACAGCCCCTGACTCGTGAGAGCCCCGCTTTATACGTGACTCAGGCCTCGCAATCCTCTTTCTTTGTTTCTATGGCCAGTCCATAAATCCCCTGTCTTGCAGCCAGATAAGGCTGTCCTTGCTCTAACCTCAGGTATCTTTGCTCAGCATTCCGGAGGCCCTGAATTAAGCTTGTTATCTGCTCAGCATTCCGGAGGTCCTGAACTGAGCCTGTTATCTGCGAACCTTTGCAAAACGGTATAATTGTGGTTAAAACGAGTTGGGGTCCTTCAAGCTAAGTAGACCAAAGGGCACACTGTGACACACCACAGTTCCCAGTGCCGTAAGACAAAGGAAGAGATGTTGAGAGAGGCAGGAAAGACAGGAGAGCGAAGTGATTTTTTGGTTTGTTTTATTTTATTTTGTTTTTAGTTAATATTTTTTAATTTATTTAACTTTATTTTGTGTGCATTGGTGTGAAGGTATCAGATACCCTGGAACTGGAGTAGTAGACAGTTGTGAGCTGCCATATAGGTGCTAAGAATTGAACCTGGGTCCTCAGGAAGAAAGCCAGGGCTCTTAACTGCTGAGCCTTCTCTCCAGCCCCTTTAATATTTTTTAAATTTTCTTTTGGTGAGGATGCTATGGGCATGAGGGGGCAAATGTGGAGTAACTGGGAAATGAGCAGGATTGAGGTGCTTGATATGAAATTCCCAACGTCAATAAAAAATTTGTACTTAAAAAAGAGAAAATGCCTTCAGAAGACTGAGCTATAGGCAAGCCTGTAGGGCAATTTTTGAAATTAGTGATTGATGGGGAAGGGTCCAGTCCCTTGTGGGTGGTGCCATCCCTGGGCTGATGGTCCTGAGTACTATAAGAAAGCAAGCTGAACAAGCCATGTGGAGCAAGCCAGTATGCAACATTCCTCCATGGCCTCTGCATCAGTTCCTGCTTCCATGTTCCTTCTCTGTTTGAGTTCCTGTTCTGACCTTCTTTGTTGAGCTGTGATGTGGAAGTGTAGGCAAAATAAATCTTTTCCTCCCTAGCATGCTTTTGGTCATGGTTTTTAATCATAGCAGTAATAACACTAACTAAGACAGGATAAACCCCACTTGTTAGACAAGGGTTCCCCACTGAGCTAAATCCCCAACCCTTGCAAAAAAATATTTTTAGATACAGAATCTGTGTTGTCTCGATGAGTTAGTAGATGCTTGGTACTTGATAATGCACCAGATGCTCTTCCCAGAATCCTCTACTTGTAATATAGCCTAAAAGTTTTTTGTTATTGCAGTGATGAAACTTGAACTCAGAGAGAGCCTTCCCATCTGAAGGTTTTTTCTTATATATTTCTGTATAGCTTTATCCTTGGTTGCTTACGTGAAATGTTGGAATTATAGTAATTAAACGTATGGTAACTATTAAAATATCTTTCAAGAAGTTGAGGTACTATAGTGTGTTGGTAAAAGAGGTTGTCTGTAACACGAGGGCCGGCTTGTTGGGGTTTCTGTCCCGCCCAGTACCCCAACAAGCCAGCAAGTCCCAAGGAAAATCACACGGAGTCTACATTAGGTTATAAACTGATTGGCCCATTAGGTCAGGCTTCTTGTTAACTCTTATAACATATATTACCCCATTATCCTTATCTATGTTAGCCACATGGGCTCAGTACCTTTCTCAGTGTGACAGCTTACATGTTGCCTCTTCGATGGTCTGTGCAGGAATGGCGGAGGGAGTTTCCTCCTCCCTAGCTTTATCCTATTCTCATTGCCCCGCCTCTACTTCCTGTCTGGTTGACCCGCCTATACTTCCTGCCTGGCCAATCAGCGTTTTATTAAAATACATGATTGACAGAATACAGACAATTCTCTCGCACCAGCTGTCACTCTCTGTTATTATGTAGTAACCCATAACAACTTAGAAAATATATTTATGTGTGTTTGTGTGCTGCGCATGTGTGTGAAAGTTAGAGTATATAGCCTTGGTTGCCATCCTCTCCTACCTTACTGAGATGGGTCTTCTGTCACTACCTCCTATGGTGCCATAGGAGCATGGAGTTACAGGTGCATGCCGCTCATCCAACTTTACAGAGGACGTGGGGATTCAAACTCAAGTCCTCATGCCTGCATGGCAAGCACTTTACCTATTGAGCTGTTGTTCCAGCCCCCAAACCTTCTGGAAATATTTACCAGTGCTGGATTTTATTAGTATGCCTATGAGTTTTCCAATACCCTTTTCACTAGCATATGTTAATTACATAAAATAATGGGCTTTGTTATATTGTCATGCATGACTATAGTATCCTTTGTTCGCATTTACCCGCCCCCCATCATCCTCATGTATCAATACCATCTAAAGGGCTTTTGTTGTTCTGTTTATTTTTGTCCAGATGACGGGAAATAATTTTTGGTTGAAGAAAATAGAAATCAGTGTTTCTGAAGCAGAAAAGAGAACTGGAAGAAACGCTATGAACATGCAAGAAACATACACTGCTTACCTCATTGAGACGCGGTAGGTTGCCAGGATTGGGCTTACCTTTAGGTGGGGAAGTTTAGGTAACTATTGTCTGAGACCTAACAGTTCAGTAGAGTGGGGTTGAATGACTGCATTCCTTCAGCTGCTAGGGTGTGTTTTCTTGTGATAGGATGTTGTTTCAAGATAAAAGTATGGGGATTTGTCTTCTAGAGCATGTAGAAATGTTTGGGGAAGCAGTATGTTATTAAATTCTTCTAGTTGGGAGACAAGGCTAAGGAAAACATTTGTAACTTAGGATAAAATTAATATTTCATGTTGAAGTTGGGAATCTGAACTAAAAGCTGTTTTAGACATAGTTGATTTAATGCCTCTCCAAACTGGACTGTGATTAATATTCCTGTGTTTTATATTTCATATTATATTTCCTTTTATTAATATGTAATTAATAACCTTAGCGATAAACTTAATATATTTGTTTTATTTATTTATTTATTTGTTGTTTTTTGGGGACAGGATCTCTATGTAGCCCTGACTGTCTTGGAATTCACAGAGGTTCACTTGCCCCTGACCTGCATCTATGCACCATGCCCAGCCTGATGTGCATATTTACTACTTACATGTAGGGTGTGGCAGTGCACAACTGTAATTCTAGCACTAAGACCTGGAGGATCAGGAGTTTAAGGCCAGCCTGGGCTATATAGTAAAACCCTGTCTCCAAAGGATAATGATGAAAACAATAATTGCCAGGTATAGGGCTAGAGAGATGGCTTCATGGTTCAGAGCATAAACTGCTCTCAGAGGACCTGGAATCTGTTTCCCAGCACCCACACCAGGCATCTACAATTGCCTGTGACTCTAGCTCCAGAATCTAACACTTTGGCCTCCGAGGACCCCTGCACTCATGTGGCACACACACACAAAGACACATGTTATTAAGACTAATAAATCTTTTTAAAAAGGACAGTAGTGTATTGTAAATTTAGTTACTCAGGAGGCTAAGGCAGGAAAATTAATACCTTTTCTCTCTCCCTGACCCCCTCAACCTTGGCCTGATAGGCTGCCAGTCCATCCAGAAGGATCTCTCAAATGTATGAGTTTGAGGCCAGCTAGGCCAGCATGGTAAAACCCACCTGAAAACCAAAACAAACTTCCAGAGAAGTAGCTGCTGCACTAAGCCTCTCTAATGACTGATCCGGGACTAATGTAGCTTCTCTGTCACTATGTCTTGATGGACAAATACACATTGTGATCATTTGTGCATTTCTTGGAGGACAAATAAGTTATTGTCTAGTGAATAATTGGAAAATAAAGAGGTTTGATAATGTTTCACATTTCTCTGCAGCTAGGCATGGAGGCACACTCCTTTCTCTTTGCACTTAGAGGCTGAAGCGGGTGGATCTCTGTGTTAGTTCCAGACCAGCCTGGTCTACACAGCAAGTTTCAGGCCAATCAGAACTGCATAGTAAGAAAGACCCCGTCCTAAAGAACAACAAAGTGGAAACCCTGCGTTCATGATGGCAGCAGAAGTCTTGAGTGCCTTAAAATAGCCTTCACATGCTCTTTGCCTGACTTCCTCCTGAGGGCAGTTTGGACTTTCCTGTAGGGAAAGCATGAGGTGCCTGCCAGCTCTGTAAGGGAAGAGAAACGTGAGTTGTGAGCTTTCTTCCTTGCCCTTCCAGAGCTGACTTTGTTCTTGTGGATCTCCTGGTATTCAGGTCTGTTGAATTGACTCATACACTGAACCCAGACTTTGTGGTATCTGGGTCTTTGTCATGAAGTTGTCCCCTCATTGTGGCAGTAGTAAAGTTACAAGTGCCTTTTATGTAATGAATATTGTAAAACCAATTCTACACTGCAGCTTGTAGAATGTTCTCATATAGCTATTTCTCATGAGTTCAGATGGGTTTTCTATAACAGAAGGAAAGTACTCAGGGGTGAGAGCTTTGAATCTGAGCGTACAACATACAGAGTGTGCATTTGTAGGCAGAGCACAGCTGCATCCTCATCTGTAAAATGGGCACAGGAAGTCTGTTTCCTGGGGTTGGAAGGTTTTGAAGGAGGTGGCATCATGTGTTCAGTTTTGGAGTAATAGAAGTCTTTGATTCCTTTCAGGTCAGTTGGACATGCTGACGGTCAGAGTGTCCTCACAGACTCACTGTGGAGGCGGTACAGCGAGTTTGAGCTGTTGAGAAACTACCTTCTAGTGTACTACCCGCATATTGTTGTGCCACCTCTTCCTGAAAAGCGGGTAAGACAGAGCCGTGGGAGTTGAGAAGTGCCTGGAATTGACCCCATTCATTTATTTGTTTTCTTTCTTTTTTGTTTTTGCTTTTCAAGATAGGATTTCTCTGTGTAGCCCTGTCTTGGAACTTACTCAGTCTGTATAATGTTATTTGTGTGTTTATAATTTCGGGGTTGACCATTTAGTCAGTCTTCCATAAAAGGGGCTATTTCTTCTATTTTTAGCATTCACTAATGGCCTAGAATTCTTTGTCTAGGGTTGAGGCCCCATAAGATGTCCCCCTTCCATGCTAGCATATACATTAGTGTTATCCTTGTGCAAGTCTTGTTTAGGCAGACATGTTCGTAGGTGTAGCTTTCCTGTCATTCCCAGGAGACATAATCTCACAGTAGACTTCCTGTTTCTCTGGCTCTCACAGTCTTTCTGCTCCCTCTCCCAGAGGTCCCCTGAGCCTTGGGTGCGGGAGCTATGTCATAGATGCATCAGTTAGAGCTGGGCACCACAGGATCATTTGTTCTCTGCATTTTGATCAATTGTGGTTTTCTTTAATGGTCTTCTGTTGTAAAGAGAAATTTCAAAGTGTGTGCTGTATGGTTTGATGTCAGCTATGTCAAGCCAGAATCATTTGAGAGGAGGAAGTCTCAGTTGAGAAAAAGCTTCTAGAAGATTGAGCTGTAAGCACACGAGCCTATGGGACATTTTTGTACTTAGTGATTGATGTGGGATTGAGATTGTGAGTGGTGCTACACTGGGCTGGTGGTCCTGTGTTCTATATAAAAGCAGGCTGAGCAAGCCATGAGGAGCAAGCCAGTGAGCAGTGCCCCTCCATAGCCTCTGCATCAGCTGCTGCCTCCAGGATCCTGTTCTGACTCATTTTGATGTTGAACAATGATATGGAAGTGTAAGCCAGATAAACTTCCCTCCCACCTTGCTTTAGTAATGGCGTTTTGTCAATGCAGTATAATCCTAGCTAAGAACGAGGGTAAGAGCTGTACTTACCTGTGATTGAGTCTTTTCCTAATGGTTTCCTTGTTTCCCCAGGCAGAGTTCGTGTGGCACAAACTCTCTGCTGACAACATGGATCCAGACTTTGTGGAGAGACGACGGATAGGCTTAGAAAACTTTCTCTTGAGGGTTGCTTCACATCCTGTTCTTTGTAGAGACAAAATCTTCTATTTGTTTTTAACACAGGTATTTTTCTTTTAATCAGTCTTTAAAAAAATATTTGAGTTAAACTTTTAAAAAACTAGAAAATGCTGATTCTTGAGACTCTTGAATTAACTTTTGGTAGGCAGTTTATTGTGCTTGGTTAGTTTGAATTTTGGGCTATTGGATTCTGTCATTAGCTGAGATTTTTTTAAAATTATGTGTTATTAATGTGTGCATGTGTGTGTTCTCTTGAGTGTAATATGGGGAGGGGGTACACCTGTCATGGCACACATGTGGAGGTCGGAGGACAGCTTTGTGGCATCAGTCCCCCCTTCCACCTTTCCATTAATTCTGGGAATTGATCCTAGTTGCCAGGTTTACATGGCAAATGCTTTACCTAAATATTGAGCCATCTCACTACCCCAATAGCTAAGCTTTTAAAAATATTAGTTATTTAATTTTTTGTGTGTGTATGTCCTGAGTGTATGTATATGTACAACATGGGTGCAAGAGTCCGTGGAGGTAAGGAACAGGGTTGAATCCCAGGAACTGGAGTCACAGAGTAGGGACTGGGGGGAAAATGGGTCTTCTTGAAGATCAGTAGCTGTTCTTCACCAGTGAGCCGTCTCTCCAGCCCCGTCATAGCTAAGATTTTACACTTGAAAGATACTAAAACTTTATGTCTGTTAGAATTACCTAAATGAAAACTTAAAAATAATCTTCAGTGTTAGAGGGCCAGGTATCTAAAATCTTGGATGTTTTTCACACTTTTGGAGTTTGCATTGAATTTGTAGTTTTGAAGTAAAGAAAATGGTCTCTCGTATAACTTGAATTAAGAACAGAATGGTAGATACTCAGTTTATTTCATAAGGAACATTATGTGTTGGTTGTTTGGCTTTGCAGTAATGATCTCTGAAACTGACTTTGACTTTTAGGAAGGAAACTGGAAGGAGACTGTGAATGAGACTGGATTTCAGCTGAAGGTAAGAATATTTGTGTGAATATGTGCTCCACATCCCCGACAGTTCCCAACATGGTAGTGTGCTCTTAATGGAGATGTGCTCCACATCCCCGACAGTTCCCAGCATGGTAGTGTGCTCTTAATGGAGATGTAGCTCTGTGTGCTGAGCTAATGGCGGGAGTCAGCTTTGCATCTAACATCATTGGAAGGATTTCCAAGAAAACACCTCAGTTCACTTTTGATTTGTGTAATTTTAGTGTTGGTTGGGCTACAGTGGGAAGTTTCTGAATCCTCCCAGAAACTATTTTAAATCAATAATTTAAATTCAATGTATAGAGTTTTCATACAGTATACTAGTACATCTACATTTTCATTTCCTTAAATTCTACCTGGCCACTTCACTTGTTCTCTGACTCCCACATTTGCTTACTGGGAGACAAGACACTTAGGGAAACCCACACTTGGTTTTTCCGACATTGGTAGACCTAGGATGAGACCTTTGTCTTACTTCTGAAGCATGAGACTTGGTAACCAATTTGAAAAGAGGTAGGAGTCGTGGTGAAATAGCCCCTGTTAGTGATGCAGGTTTATAGTCATTAGCATTGGTGTTTGTAAAAGAGAGTTCCTGGAGACTGAGAAGCTCAGTGATGAAGGATTGGGGCTCTCCAGATCTTCCTGAGGGACAGCCAGCACAGGTTATTACAGACTAGAAGGGTTTGTCTGCTGTGTCGTGTGAGGAGGGGAGACAAATACAGAATAAGTTTGTAAAATATAGTTTGAATATTCCTAAATTGAAAATCTGAAATTTGAAATATTATGAAATACTAAGTATTTCAGAATTTAAAACATTTTATTGTATAATTCTGTTTTAGACTTTGGGATATTTTTGTATTTCAGATTTTACGTAAAGGGATACTCAGCTGGAAAAGATTACATTGTAAAGACCCAAGCATTTCAGATAAAATATGCTGAACCTAGTATTGAATGTAAGATAATAAATGATAGTCAGGTGTACTGGCACACACCACCTTTAATCCCAACATGGGGAGTAGAGGCGGGTGGATCTTTATGAGTTTGAGGCCAACCTGGTCTATATAGTGAGTTCCAAGACACCCCGAGCTACATAGTGAGACCTTCTCTTGAAAAAAATAAAAGACTCTTAAAAAAAGGTGGTAAATGATGAATCAGTTCTACATAGTACAGACAAGACCAAACTATGTTCAGTAATTTAAAAACACCTCAGGCTAGGCTTAGTGATAAATAGTGAAATTCCTTGGGAAGTGAAGAGGATTAGAAGTTGAAGGTCATCTTCATCTTTGTGTGAGTTTGAAGATAGCCTGGGCTACCTGAAACTCAATGTCTAAAAACAAACCCGCCAAACAAAAAACAAACAACTCCTGGAAACTGACATATAGGAATTTGAAATTCAGCACAGAATAAACAGGCGATGTAGTCAAGTGTCTGACTCTGTCATGAACTGACTCTTAACTAGTTGGGTATTTTATTAGCAGATAGCAGTTTCTTGATTGTTAATTCAGCACTTGGTGGTTCTTAGAGGAAAGTTGTAATTTTAGTTTAGGGATGGATTTGAAATAATTTGAAACTTTAAAAGATTCATATTTTGCATTTTCTGATAAATATTCTAAAATATATTACAAGTGAATGAGGAAAGATAAGACTAATACCAAGTTATTTGCATGAATTTTCTGTATATGAGCAGATATTTCGCCACTGACTTGGCCATTAGTCTTTACTTATCTATCTGTCCCTGTACTCAGTTTTGTCTCCAGTTTGGTAGTGTTGAGATAACTCTCAAGTTTGTCTGTTATTTTAGCATATGCTGTTTGCAGGGTCCTTTACATCTTTTTGGGCAGATCGCTTTAAAGTATTTAAGTAATGTTTTGTATTTGTATAGCCTTGTGGTTTAAAATTTGAGGTTTTCTTTACTCATAGTATGTGATTCTGTGGAAGGAGAGCCCAGGGTTTGTCCCTAGAGTGATGAACACAAAGTAGTTCAGTGCAGAGTAAGATGGTTTTCATTCAGTTAACTATGTCATGAGAATGCTCACATTTGTATTGCCCAGGTCTTAATGAATAGAGGCTGACTCAGAAGTATCTGGAACCCTTCTTTTTGCTTGGAAGAAGGAATGCCAGAGACAAGGTGTGGGCCCACTGCTAGCCTCTGGTTCCACAGTCTGGGTACCTGCAGAATGTGAGGTACCTGCTGCTCTGAGTGCTGTGCAGACTGTGGCTGGCCTGTTGTTAAGGAGTGGGATACGGGTTAAGAAGGGATAAGTCATCTAGAAAATACGTTGAAGCTGGTTCACAGATGGTGCACTCCTTTATTTCCAGCACTCAGGAGGCAGAGGCAGGCGGAGCTCTGTGAATTCATTGCCAGCTTGGTCTACAAAGTGAGTTCCAGGACAGCCAGGGCTACACAGAGAAACCCAGTGAAAAACAAAAAAAAATTTTTTTTGAATTGTGAAAAGCAGCACAAGAGGAGTAGACTATGATTGTTGTTAATGAGCCAGTAGGGTTTGTTTTCTGGAGTCACTGTAAGATGAGTCAGTCAGGCAGTGGCTAGCAACACAAAGCACAAACTCTTCCCCGACAGGGAATAACAAGAAAGTATTCAAAGGCTCACGTGAGCAAGCATGGCCTGGGAACACAGAATTGGGTTGCCTAGAATGATGTGTTGTGCTGTGGAGGGTGCCTGAACTTCATGGACAGAACAAAATGACATCACTGCCTTTACAAAACACGTGGGTGGGGACAGCAGGTGGGCAAGTTACAGCAAAGCCAGGAGAGCACTGCTGTAGCACTCGATGCTTTGTGATAGCATCTTGGGGCTGGTGGAAGCTAGAGGTCTGCTGGGAATCTATTCCTAGGGCTCTACCGGATAGTCAGAAGTTAGGTCACTTACCCCAGCTAGTAATAAATGGCTAGTGAAGGGACTGAAGGTCCAAGATCGCTTTGCCTGTCAACCTGTAACATTCTAGCTCTGTACAGTCACGAAGATTTCATCAGTCTGCACAATCTTCAACAAAGAGCTGGAACCCCGCCCCCCCCCCGCCCCAGGAACTTCAGCTCTCACAGTTCACAGTTCTCATCCTAGCATTTATGAGGCTGAGGCAGGGGGATCATGAGTTCCAAACCACTCCAGGCTGTATATATGAGGAGACCCTGACTCAAGAAAAGTGTGCACGGAATTTATTATCCAGACGGACTCTTTGTGTTGTATAGAGTATGTATACTGGGTATGCAGCATAGAGGGCACTGTTACTAGGACGGACAGGGGCACAAACTAGGAGAGTCTGGGCAAATTGACCTAATAGTCTCCCTTGAAGAGATGATTTTTGAGTTGAGACTGAAGGATAGGAGATCTGCAGTGGAACCAACCCTGAGGTCAGAAAAGAACAGTTAGAGAGAGAAACTCAAGCTGGGTAGTTTCTTTGGCGAGGTTTAGGAGAAAATAGAGAACACCCTAAAAGTGTTGCCACGGCAACCTTTGTGCTGCTCCAAAGTCAGTGTGCATTCAGACTGTGGTGCTTTGTGAAACAAAAATGTACAGTCAAGAAACACAGACAGCATGATTTCAAATAATCTTATTTTAGAGGAGAAAAATACGGTGCTTTAAACAGCACTAGGTTAGGGGCATCTTTGGGTGTTGAGTGGAGAGCGTCTAGGTGGATGCAAAGTAACCTGTCAGCTTTGCAGTGGGCTAGGAAACTCTTCAGAGTTGCCTTCAGAGGACTCTCTGGTTTGGTCCCATTTTAAGCATCTCCTCTTTCTGTGTGATCTTAAAGTGAGCAGTGGCGATGGACCTATTCTGCTAAATATGTTTGGTAAGGAAAGGTTTAAAAGTAAGATAAAAGAAAAAAAATTGTGGGATCAGAAAGTAAGATTTGGGGCCTGAGAGGTGGCCCAGAGGTTGGGGCTGCTCTTCTAGAGGTCCTAAGTTCAAGTCTCAGCACCCACATGGTGGCTCACAGCCATCTATGATGAGAGATGGTGCCCTCTTATGGCATGCAGACAGACATGTAGACAGAACCTTGTATACATAATAGATAAATAGATCTTAAAAGAAGAGAGAGAGCTGGGCATTGGTGATGCACGCCTTTAATCCCAGCATTCTGGAGGCAGAGGCAGGTGGATCTCTGAGTTTGAGGCCAGCCTGATCTACGAGAGCTAGTTCCAGAACAGGCTCTGTCTCCAAAAACCAAAAGGGAAAAAAAAATGGAAGAGAGAGATTTGAAGCTGGGCATGGTGGTGGTACACTCCTTTAATCCCAACACTCAAGAAGCAGAGGCAGGTGGATCTCTGTAAGTTCGAGGCCAGCCTGGTCTACAGAACTAGTTCCAGTATGGCCAGGACTACACAGAGAAACCCCGTCTTGAAAAACCAAACAAACGAAAGTGAGATTTGAGAGGACTGGAGAGATGTCTCAGTGGTTAAGAGCACTGGCTATTCACCCAGAGGACCTAAGTTCAAACTTCAGTACCCAAGTGGTAGCTAACAACCATCTTTACCCAGTTCCAGGAAATCCATTCCTGCCTTCTGGCTTCCACAGGCCCCAGGCATGTACATGGTGAATAGACTTACCAGACATACATATAGGCAAAACACCCACACACATGAATAAAGAAATAAATTTATTTATTTATTTTAAAGTGAGATTTGAGAGGTTCAAGAGATGGCTTAACAATTAAGAACACTTGCTAATTTTGCAGAGGACCTGGGTTCTTTTCCCAGCTCCTACATGGTGGCTACCATATAGTTATATGTAACTCCAGTACCAGTCTTTTGGCTTCTGGGCACCAGGTATGCATGTAGTACACGTACATACACACAGGCAAAACACTCATACACATAAAATAAAAGGTGTTTATTGGCCAACTGTGCAGATCCCCGACTCTGGAGTTGTGGGCGCTGAGTATAATAGAACTCATTTGTTATTTGTTCGTTCCTATTTTCTTAGTGGAGTAACTCAGATATCCTGCTGATTTTGGTTTACTCTGTTGTGTTAATTGAGAGTATTTGTAATTGTGGGTTGGAAATTGGAGTAATATAACGTTTTCATGAGGATAGAGATATTTTTAAAAAGCCAAACTACATTTGTTTTTTTTAAAGATGTATTTTTTTAAGATTTACATTTGCATTTTGTATGTATGTGTACCACATGCATGCCTCGTGCCCATGGTGACTAGAAGAGGACATGGGATCCTCTGAAATTGGAGTTACAGGCAGTTTTTGTTTTTGAAATTGAAATGTCATTTAATAAGTGATACAGGTCAATTTTACACAGTTACATACTACATGATCCTAACCACAATATGTTTTACAAAAGGGCCAAACTAAAGCCTCGTAAAACGATTTGTGGTTGTCACTATTTAAGGCAGACAGAAGTCAGAAAAGTAGAATACATGACTTGTGTAGCAGTGAATCTATTATATATGATACTACAGTGCAGAATATATACAATTTGAATTTGACAAAACCTATAAAAATGTACAACATCAATATTGAACTCTAATGCAAACAGCAAAATGTGATAATGATATACAACTCACAGATTATGATTTACATCACTAGAGGAGGAGATAGTGATTATGAACGTAACTATGTAAGTATTTGAACTGGACGTACATAAGAAGTGTCTCTGTATTTTGTACTGAAGTTTGTTGTAAGCCTAAAGTTACTTTTAAACACAAGGTCTAGTTTTTTTTGTTGTTGTTGTTTGTTTGTTTTTTAAATTTATTTATTTATAAAAATTTCCACTTCCTCCCCTCCTCCCAATACCCTCCCTACAGGCAGTTTTGAGCTGCCGTGGGGGTGCTGGGAACTGTGAACTCAGATTCTTTGCCAGAACAGCAAGTGTTCTTAACTGCTAAGTTATCTCTTTAGCACCCTGGTTTGGGGTTTTTGTTTGTTTGTTTGGGTTTGGTTTTGTGGATGTTTTTGGTTTTTGTTCTTGGAGACAAGCTATGTAGTTCTGCCTAACCTGGAACTTTGTAGACCACCCTGGCACCAGAGATCCACTTACCTCTGCCTCCCAAGTGCTGGGATTATTAGTGCATATCACCATCTTTTTGTTTTATTTTTGAGATAAGATCTGTCTACATAATCCTCACTAGCTGTCCTGGAACTCACTATAGACCAGGTGGCTTAGCGTTCACAAAGGTTGTACTGCCTCTGCCTTCCAGGTGCTGGACTAAGGCCTGCACCACCACGCTCGACACAGTTTTCTTTTTCATTTCTGTTTACGTAAGAAATTAGGATTTGAATATATTAAGTATACTTCTCATTCAATGAAATTCCTATTTAGTATTTACCTCTCTGTCTCTTGTGAGAGAACAATTATCTAGAAATAAGTAAAGTTAAGGAGATGCGTTATTTTGTAAGTTGGGCACCACACCATCTCACACCTGAAACCCTATGCTAGGGAGTTAGAGCAAGAGGGTGAGGAGTTTAGGGCCAGCCTGGGCTACATGAGACCCATCTCAAAACCAAAAAGGGGGTGTCTTTAGTAATGTGATGCCATCTAGCTTGCTTTATTTAGCATAGCATTAATTTAATGTAGCTATTTTCATTTTTTCTTTTTCTGAGACATTATGATAACAAGAAAAGTGAAGGCCCATGTGGTTTGGATTCCACCTGAGAAGTATGCTCAGAACACACAGGATCTCCATAAAGCAGCAGGTTCACAGCCTGCCTAGGCAGGTCATCACTTTTCTTGGCTTGGAGATAATGCAGAGCTGTTGTCATTACTGGTGCATTGGTGTTGGTGGTTGTTAGCTTTGGAATCACTGAAGGCCACATACTCATTCTGATTTATAACATGCTTGTGTGGTGTTCTCAAAAGAAGCTATTCTTTTTCAATATGTTTAATATGCTTATAACAAATGATTAAAAAATCCACATGTTTGAGAACTTTAATTCTGAAAGGAAAGTAAAGCTGTTTGAATTTATACCCTGAAATGTAATTGTATTAAGTCAACAAATTATTTTTTCCAGGCAGACTCCAGGTTAAAAGCGCTTAATGCAACATTCAGAGTGAAAAACCCAGACAAGTAAGGCTTTCTTTAATCACAGTTTACAATGTTGTTTTGAGTGGTGCCTATCGATCTATTTCATTTTTCATTTCTGAATGTATGCACTTAGTTTGCTGAATATTTTTAATAATAATTTATATTTAGTGAAACCTTTTTAAAGTCTAAAACTGATTTTGAAGTTTGGTATTTTGAGGTTAAGGTTGTGTCTGAAGTTATAGAAAATTAGATCATTGCTTTTTTTTTCTTGAAACATTGATTAAATATTGAAGATACCAGAAAAATGAGAATAATCCTTTCCTGTAGCTTTTCTTGTGTGAACGCTTATCAAATGTGCACAGTTTAAGAAAATTATGTATTATTTATGTATAATAACAGCCTAGTTTGTATGCCAACAAAACGGAGGGCAAATGCACAGTGTAAGGGTCCTGAGGTGCTGTGTTTGCACAAGTCCTTGACTTTGTGACCGTCAGTCTGGTGTTCTTGTGAGCATTTCTGTACTAGATGCTGGAGTTTGCAACATGACTTCTTGGGATAAGACAGATCCTAGAGATTTAGGTTGTGCTCACTCTGAATCTGATGGATGGGCCAGCCTCTTCCTTACATGCTTCTTTACAGGAAGCGCGCTTCAGCTAGAGATGGTTTGTAGTTGCAGCTCCTGAGGTAGATACAGATGGGTTAGGATTCCTCTAGCAAGTCCTTCAGCACTAATCAGTGTCAGCTAAATTCTTATCCATTGGAGCCCAAGTTTGCGTGTTTGATAACCTGTCATGCCTAACTGCAATTTATAAACTGACATCGTTAACAGTATGACTCTGTTTTGCTTGTTTTTTGGTAGGAATAGAAACCAGAGCCTTTTGCATGCTAGCAAGCCCTCTGTCACCAGGCTAAATCTGTAGGCCTTCTTGACTTTTATCACAAACTTTGAATATAAACTATAAATGACTATTTCTAAGATTTTGGTAATTAGGAAGTGATAATGATAACCATTGAACTTTTGTTTCTGTTTTTTTATTATTTTTAATTATGTGTATGTCTATGAGTGCTACTAGGATCTGCAACCATACTTATCTCCATTTTGTTGTTTTGAGATCCTGTGTGACCCAAACTGGTCTTAAACTCCTGGTCCTCCTGTCTGTACCTTCTGAGTGCTAGGACTACCTGTTTGTTACTATACACCCTCAAGTATTGTTTGTTTATGACATTATTTTTTAGAGCAAGTTTAGGTTCACAGCAACATTGAGCATCAAGCGTAGAAAACCCTCCGTTTCCTCCCCAGACTCTGATTCTCCACCCCTCACGCAGAGCCCTGGGTGGACAGAGTTTGTTGCTGGGACAGGACCTGGTTTGGGATGAGCGCATCTGCTGTTGCAGCATCTTGTAGAATAGATGGAACAGGTAGATGTCCTAAAGTCCTCTGCTCCTTCCAGCTCAAGTAACTTTCCAGTTTTACTGTTTCTATAGTTTTTTGTTTGTTTATTTCAAGACAGGGTTTCTCTGTGTAGCCCTGGCTGTCTTGGAACTCGCTCTGTAGACCAGACTGGACTCAAACTCAGAGATCTAACTGCCTCTGCTTCCCACGTACAGGAGTTAAAGGTGTGCACCACCACAGTCTGACTAGTTTCTTCTTTTAAAGAACGTCATGCCAAATAATAGGTTACCTTTCAAATTGGCTTCTTTCATTCAGGTCCCATTGAGGTTTTTATAAGTGTTATAATGACATGTATGGAAAATAATAGGTGTTTTGTAGATTAGAAGTAAAATTATGTTACTCTAAAAGAAACAGGCTAAGTTTGTGACATTGGTGGATGTATATTCCTTAAGAGATCTGTTATTTTTGTGGATACTTTAGCATTAATGGAGTATAATGAAAAAGATTTTGTCATTTGAATTTCTTCATTTTCTTTTGGCTTTACAAGATTATTTTAATTACTGAATTTTATTTATCCATATTGTTTGTAGGTTTTTCAAATTTTAGATATGTTGTGGCCAGTAATATTGTCAAAATATAAAATCAGTGTCTAGTTACAAGAAAATTGATTTGCCTTAAATTTCATTATAAGAGATTCTTGCTGGGAGGTGGTGGCGCACGCCTTTAATCCCGTCTCTCCAAAGCAGAGCCAGGCTGATCTCTGTGAATTCAAGGCCAGCCTGTTCTGCCGAGTGAGCTCTAGGACAGGCTCCAAAGCTACAGAGAAACCCTGTCTCGGAAGGAAAACGAAAACAAAAACGAAAAAAGAGAGAGAGTGTATGTAACTTCTCTGTTCTAGGTCTGATTATGGTTAGCCCAACAGATTAATAACAATTAAAAGTAGTCATGCCTTTATTAAAGTAGTATGCATCACAAAAAAAGTTTTATTCTGTTTCCCTAAATCCCTCATAACCAGAATAATTGTTTCAGAGGGATGACCAGAATGCTGTTTCTAGTTGCTTTATGCAAGTGTATTTTCCCCAGACCAACTTGACTGTTAAAGCAGCAAGAAGGGAGACCTGGAGTCTTGTGATTACATGACCTTAGTCCAGTGGCTCCCAACCTTCCTATGCTGCGGCTCTTTAATGCAGTCAGCTCCTCATGTGTGGACCCCCAACCATAGAGTTATTTTCATTGTTACTTCATAACTATAATTTTGCTACTATTATGAATTGTAATGTAGTTGTTATCTGTGTTTTCCAATGGTCTTAGGCAACTCCTGTGAACGGGAAATTTGACACCTCCTGGAGTTGCGACCCATAGGTATAGAACCACTGCTTTAGGGAGTCTAAATGTCATTTACCTTGGTCTGACAGTGGCCACTCATTGCCTAATTATGTTGTGTTGCAAATAAACCAAGTCCATTAAAACAGAATCTAAATGATAAATTGGCCAGATAACATAAATACATATTTTTATGTAGTTATTTTTAAATCTACTAGTTTGGTTTTGTATAAATAAACAGTCCTAATATTGTGCCAGCCATAAACTTGCCAGGAAGTTTCATTTATTGTGATTTTAATTGCTAATTTTTCTTGTCTGAAAAAACAGAATATTGCCTTCACTTAAATCACATGTAAAACCATAATTTTTCTTTTAAAGGAAAGCAGACCGCATGGTCAAATCTTTAATTATGATTTTCTTAGGGCCTTTGAGCTCTCAGATTATTTGGAACAGGAGGTGTTGGTAGAAATTAGTATAGAGTTAGAGTTGTCTTTTAAGTGGCTTGGGTCAGGGCTCTCAGTATAGTGCAGTGGATAAAAATGATTGCCACGTATGCCCGACAACTTACTTTGATCCTAGAATCCATGTTAGAAAGGCAGATGTGGGGCCTAGAGAGACTGCCCAGCGATTTACAGCACTAGCTGATCTTCCAGAGGACCTGAGTTGTTCCCAGCACCCACATGGCAGCTCACAACTGTCTGTTACTCCAGTTTCAGGAGCTCTGACACCTTCACACCAAAGCACATAAAATAAAGTTAAATAAAGTAAAAAAAAAAAAATGCTGGCCAGTGGTGGTACACACCTTTAATCCCAGTGCTCAGGAGACAGGGGCAGACAGATCTAAGTGAGTTCCAGGACAACCTGATCTACAGAGTGAGTTCCAGGACAGCCAGAACTGTTTCACAGAGAAACACTGTCTTGAAAAAGAAAAACAATAAACAAACAAACAAGCAAAAAAGCCAGATGTGATGGTGCACATCTGGAATCCCAGCACTTTATGGTAAGATGGGAGAAGGAGTTAGGAAAATCTCCCAGAAGTTCACAGACCGGCTAGTCTTGTCCCATCACATGCATGCGTAGCACACCCATGCTCACATTCACTCAAACACAGTAACCATCAATAGAAAAAGATTACAAATCAAAAACAGCTCCTGGATAGGCAGGGCAGTAGGAACTGGAAATGCAGAAGCTGAAAGAGGAAGGTTGGGCACTGACATTTGTGACTCTTACTTACAGTCACACAGACTCACAATACATTGAGTGCCTTTTCTTCTGGGTTTATTTTAGGTGATTGTTGATTTACAGATTATACAAGAGGTATAAGTGCAGCCTAGAGAGACGACTCGGGGGTGCAGAGCACTTGCTGCTCCTGCAGAGGACTTGGGCTCAGTACCCTGCACCCACATGGTGGCTCACAACCATCTGTAATTCCAGTTCCGGGGGACCCCATGCCCTCTTGTGACCTGTACGAACACCAAGCACATACATGGTACACAGACATTCACACGTAATGTTTTAAACTTTCTTTGTGTGTGTGCATGCATGTGTGTGTGCGTGTGCATTTGTGTGTCGGGGAGACAGGGTATCTGGCTGTCTTAGAACTCACTGAGTAAACCAGGTTGTCTTTAAATCCACCCGCTCTCTCTGCCTACCAGGTTCTGGGATTAAAGGTGTGCCCTATTGTGCTTGGTTTAAAAGGGGGAACTGGAGAGATGGCTCAGTGGTTAAGAGCACTGCCTGCTCTTCCAAAGGTCCTGAGTTCAATTCCCAGCAACCACATGGTGGCTCACAACCATCTGTAATGAGATATGGTGCCCTCTTCTGGCCTGCACTGTATACATACATACATGCATACATACATACATACATACATACATACATACATACCTCTTTAAAGAAAAAAGAAAAGAAAACCTTTTTAAAAACTGTTTTAAGAGAATTCGTGTGACTTTACACTTTCAGTGTAATAGGACAGAGAAGACAAAAATCGTAAAAAAAATAAGAGAACAGTAGAAAATTGACAGCAGTTGACTCCAAACTGTGTTTGTGCCTTTGAGCTATCAGACTGAAGAGAAACATCCAGAAAAAGCCTGTGGGCGCTAGTTGGGGAAGCACCTGTCCAGGTTGAGAGGGCACAGTGGTTCCAGTCTGGTGGGGGAGATGAAAGGCGTCTTTGGGGCTATAATGACAGTGGACTCTTCCAGAAGGAAGAGAAGACAAAATGAGCTGCCCTGGTGTAGACAGCCTCAAGCTCACGCTAGAATCTCTGTTTACTTGGTTTCTGATCAGGGATTGGAAAAGGTTGGTGTTGGGAGAGGACAGAATCTGACATTGTTTGTACTTTAGTCTCTGCCAATGCCTTGTCACTTAGGGCATTGAAGTCAGCGTCCTTGTTCTCACAGACTGTTCTGGGTGGACTTTGATCCTGGCGAAGGATCTGGACCTCATTTCTGGAAAATCCATGCCTATTTCTTGCCTGCTGCCTAAGGCTTGATGGAGTCTTCATTTTTCACCATTAAACCTTTTCCCCCCAGTTTCTAATTTCTCTGAAGATGCAGACTTTGTTCTGCTGACCAATCTGTGGGTGTTTAGAATTTTAACTTTGACTGATGATGTGATTGATCCCGTGGGGATACTGTTTCCTTCCTTATCTACCTGCTGTTTAAAAGAAATGAGAGGGTAAAGCTGGTGTGCTGTGGGTGTTCTGTCAGTGAGATGTAAGGTCCTCTGGTTCGCTTACCTTAGGTGGGCTGCATCTCTAACAATTCTATAGTCTTCTGAAATGTTTCATAACCTATTGTGATATTTAAGAATTTTATAGTTAAGCCTTCCCTAAAAGGAAAGGCCCTTAGGGAGTCAGGCCAAGAAACTCCAGAGAAACTTCTTGTAAAGGATTTCTGGCTCCTGGTTCCCCAGTACAAGATTCGATAGAGGCTATACATAATAGTGCACACCTTAGCCAGGTGGTGGTGGCGCACACCTTTAGTGAAAGTAAGCACAAGTGTGCTGTTGAGGGACTGGTGTGGATCTAGGGTGTAGGAGACAGTGCTGGGTTGGGTGGGAATTTTGGATGTGATGGCATACCATTCATAGTCATAAACATGAAGGCTTACAGACAAGTCATAGGATGAATGCATTTATTTGAAAGGTTGATGAGCAAATGACTGAGAGTCTAGGACTCACATCTGAAGAACACCCAGACTCAGCGTTTCCTAGAGTGGAACCTGAGGGTATCCAGCACCTGGATCCTGTTGTGAGACTCTGTGTGCCACTGGACCTGTCTGCTGTGGCTCACTTCCCAGTGAGACTTCAGTAGTGGGCTTGCCTTGGGTCTTAGTCTGTAGTCCACGCTGGCCTCACATTCATGGTGAGCTACCTGCCTTAGCTTCCCAAGTGCTGAGGGATTATAAATGTAAGCCATTGTGCCCAGCTCCCTGTGTGTGTACATGATGCAGGTTCCAGAAGGGGACATTGTGTCTCACTGAACCTGAAGCTCACTGGGTAGCCTAGCTGGCCAGTGAGTTCCCAGGATCCATCCATCTCCATACTGCAGTGCTGGAGTTACAGACATGAAGGCCATGTCTGACTTTTATGTGGGTGCTGGGGATCTGAACTCAAGTCCTCTTGCTTTCTTTAATGATCATTAAGACATTTCAGGATTCTTCACACACTTAGACACAGGTGAAGAAAGAGAGTACCATGGGAGAAACTTCCAGGGTGACCAGGAAGTAAAAGGCATGGATTAACTGTGGTAAAAAGAAATTGGAAAATAATACGAAGTGTAGAACCTAGAGCACAGGGTGTAAGCTGATTCTAAAGAAAGGGTTGAGATGATGTGGATTTGAGAAAGCTTTAGATTGACTGACATCCCACCTGCTGCCTCTGTCTTCTGTGTGCAGAACGACATTAGAATCTTGCTGTCTTCAGCTGGAAAGATGGCTCAGTGGTTAGAATGCTTGTTGCTCCTCCCGAGGATCCAGGTTCAATTCCCAGTACCCACATGATGGTTCCAGGGCATCCAATGTCCTCTTCTGACCTCTGTGGGTACTGAGGGTACAAGTGATGTACATCAGCATTCACATAAAATAAAATATTTAAGTCTAGGTGAGGCAGTGGTGGCAACGCCTTTAATCTCAGAACCTGGGGCAGGGTATAGAGGCAGGTGAATCTCTGTGAGTTCGAGGCTAGCCTGGTCTACAGAACTAGTGCCAGGACAGGCTTCAGAGTTACACAGAGAAACCCTGTCTCAAAAATAAATAAATAAACAAATAAACAAATAAATAAATAAAAGGAATGTTAGAGATTGCTATTTAGTATATTTTTAGTACCAGAAAATTTTTTCCTGTTTTTTGTTTTGTTTTGTTTTTAAAATAATTTTCCATACCAACAGATTTTTTTTTCATCTCTGCCTTGGTCTCATGATGTAATTTAATAAGTGTGCATCTTTGGCTCTCAGTATGTGTATATATACTGCCTGATGTTAGGATATTTTTCTGTTGATATTGGCTTGTTTAGGGACAGTATGTGGTTAAATAGAATGAGTTTCATTATTCTCAGGAGTTGCTATTTTGTGCACAGACCCTGCTTGTTTCCCTGTTTCAGGAGGTTTACTGAGCTGAAGCACTACAGTGACGAGCTGCAGTCCGTCATCTCCCATCTCCTTCGAGTCAGAGCTGTAAGTGATCCAGAGCTCGGCGACACATTTCTGCAGACCGCGTTTGTCACCGAGTCCCCATGCTTGGCTGGTTTTACATTTAAATCTAGTATGTTCATAACCAAACTGCCTGCTAAGAGAGATGGGAAGGCTTTTCTGTTAGAAACAGCTTACAGGGGCCGAAGAGAGGCTCAGCAGTTAAGAGCACTGGCTGTTCTTCCAGAGGACCTGAGTATAATTCTCAGCGCCCATGGTGGCTCATAACTGTCTATAATGAGATCTGTTGCCCTCTCATGGCATGCAGGCTTACATGGAGGCAGAACATGTATACATAATAGGTAAATAAATCTTTTTTTAAAAAAAAAAAGAAAAAAGAAAAGAAAAGGAGAAACAGTTTGAGGAATTTGAGCCCATTGATTTCTTCCTGGTGTATAGTGGTGCCGTTTTAGATGGAACTAGGTTGATTGTATAATAATTATTGAAGCTAGGTGCCAGGAAGTACATGTACATGTTTTTGGTCTCTATACATTTAAAAAAAAAAAATAGCCGGGCAGTGGTGGCCACACCTTTAATCACAGCATTTGGGAGAAAGAGACAGGCAGATCTTTGTGAATTTGAGGCCAGCCTGGTCTACAGAGTGAGTTCCAGGACAGGCTTCAAAGTTACAGACAAACCCTGTTTCAAAAAACTAAAAAAAAAAAGAAAAAAAAATTCCATGTGTGTGTTGAATCTCCTAGAACTGGAGTAATAGATGATTGTGAGTTTTTCCATGCAGTGCTAGCATTGAACCTGATCCCTGGAAGAGCAGCCAGTGCTCTTAACTGTGGAGCAATCTCTCCAGTCCTTCTCCATATTCTTTGTTTGTTTGTCTCAGTCTTGGGACTCAAACCGAAGACCTCATGAATGCTAGACAAGTACTCTGCTACCAAGCTGTGCTTTTCCATACTTTAGTAATATTTGAAATTCTCCGTGCTACTATAGAAGAATAGGACTTGGGGATGCAGCTCCATGGTAAAGTGTATGACCAGCATGTCCAAGGCCTTGACCTCCGTCTCTGTCTGCAGACACCGTAAGATAGACTGCGGTGTGGAGACGGCTCAGTGGGTAAAAAGCACCTGCCCTGCAAGCATGAGGACCTGAGTTGAATTCTCAGCATCCCCGTAAAATTGCACACTTCACTAAGACCAAGGTTCCAACACAACCCCAGTAGACTCCTTAAATGCTAAGATAGTCAAAGTCAGTCAGGTGTTGGTGGCAGTGGTGGCGCATGCCTTTAATCCCAGCACTCGGAAGGCAGAGACAGGTGGATCTCTGTGAGTTCCAGGCCAGCCTGTTCTACAAAGTGAGTTCCCAGACAGTCAGAACTGAAACCCTGTCTCAAAAAAGCAAAGGAAAAGAAAAAAGAAAGAAAGAAAGTCAACTGGAGTGGGTGGCTCTCTCTGTTGTCCCCTACTTGGGAGCAAGAACTGAATAGTAAAAGGGGTTTCTGGTCAGTGAAGTGAAGTTTCTAGGTCTTTCATTACTTTGAAATTACACTTGAATATGAGTCAAGTTGAAGTTCTCCTATATCAGTGGACCCATCTGGTACCTTCTGACTGACCTGGGTTTTAAGATAGTGTTCTGAAGTATGAGAAGGTCCTGCGACACGAGCAGTCGCAGCAGAGTGACAGGGTGCAAGGGTGGGGCTTGAAAACTCACACAGAAACCTCCGTGGATTTTTCCTAATGGCTGTGTCAACTGTAGAAGGTAGCTCAGATGCTGTCTAAGACAGGTGGCAAGTTACAAACTGCTTAAAGGAAAAGTGGAAGTATTATTTTTTCTGTTGAGGATAATTCTTTTAAAACCATGTATAGGGGGCTGGAGAGATGGCTCAGTGGTTAAGAGCATTGCCTGCTCTTCCAAAGGTCCTGAGTTCAATTCCCGGCAACCACATGGTGGCTCACAACCATCTGTAACGAGGTCTGGTGCCCTCTTCTGGCCTGCAGGCATGCATGCAGATGGAACACCGTATACTTAAATAACTTTAAAAAAAAAAGCTATGTAAAGGTAAAAATTGCACAGCTAGGTATGAATTAAATACTTGAGTAAACAGAATTACTAAACAGCAGGTGACCTCAGGGCCAAGAAGGGTCAGTTTTGGTCTGTGAGCTAAAGGAAATTAAAACTAACACTTTTCCTTGACCAGTGTTTGTGCACTGTGATGCTAGACATTTAGGATAGCACTCCATTTTACACCGGCCAGTACAGGCAAGTGAAATTAATGGGCTCTCCTACCTCCCAGTAGACAGATGTGGAGACCAGAGTGAGACTGTAAATCTCTTAGCCACCCACAGGCACACATGGGCAAAGGATGGGAAGACAACGGACACTCAGAGCCACCTGGTGGAGGTCATGTCCTTACTGAAAGACACCATATAAAGGTTTTGGAGTGCTCTAGCCTCACAGCTCTACATAGCAGCTGCACTCATGGGGCTGGAGGGTTGAGAGCACCTGGTGCTATTGTGGAAGACCAGGGTTCAGTTACCAACACCCACAGGCTGGTTCAAAACCATCTATATCTCTACTTCCAGGGGATTCAGTGCCCTCTTCTAGACTGCATACACATGATGCACAGGCGTCCATGCAGGCAAAACACATAGACATGTAAGTAAAAAGAAATAAATCTGATTTTTACAGAAATTTTAAGATTTATTTTATATATGAGTGCTCTATCTGCATATATACCTTTATGCCAGAAGAGAGCATCAGACCCCACTAGAGATGGTAGTGAGCCACCATGTGGTTGCTGGGAATCGAACTCAGGACCTCTGGAAAAGCAACCAGTGCTCTTAACTGCGGAGCCATCTCTCCAGCCCCTAAATAAATCTTTTAAACAAAGAAAGAACTTGAACTCAGCTACATGGTTCTATTTCCTGTTGCACTCTGTTGCTTCTTCTCTAGGCAGAGTCACATTTTTAATATAACCTTGTTAATATTCTAAAAACACTGCTTTGCTAACATTCTAAAGATGTAAATTATAGTTACTGACATCATATTTAACATTTATTGTGTAGTTGTCTGTAGATGTGGTAATATCTGGTGTTCGCAGCATAGTTAGAGAGGGTGGTCGGAGAGAATCACACAGCTTCTCTGGAAATCGCTTGTATCAGGAGTCTTTATTGTTTTGAGACAGGGTCTCACTGTGTAGACTTAGCTGGCCTGGGGCTCACTTTGTAGACCAGACTATCATAAGTTCACAGAGATGCAGCCTCTGCCCTTCTAGTGCTGGAATTCGAGGCACAAGCCACTGGGCCCAGCTAGGAATTTTAAATCTCTGAATCTCTAAAATCTGCTAGGAGACTCAAAGGAGAAAAATCTGTGTGTGTCCAGATCTTCAAATTCATCATCTCACAGCACGCCATAGGCTCGCTCTTTCTTTTCCAGTGTCCATGTCTCCTTCAGTGAGGAATTTTAGCACCACAGCAGGAGGGGAGGGGATAACCAGGATGGTGCTGCACGTGTCTTCTGCTGCAGACCTTCTCTGAAGGAGAAAAGGTGCCTCTCAGAGATGCTTTCTGCAGCATCATAATCCTGGAAAGCCTACAGGAAAGGAGGCGTATGGACTCCGATTGTATACAGCTACTTCGTGTACTGTGATTAAAACTAGTGCTAACATGCTGGGCAAAGTACACCTTTAGTCCTAGCTCTCAGGAGGCAGAGACAGGTGGATCTCTGTGAATTTGAAGCCAGCCTGGTCTACAGAGTCTGTTTTAGGATAGCCAGGGCTACACAAAGAATCCCTGTCTCAACAAAACAAAACAAAAACAAAAAAGCAAACAAGGAAAAAAGAACTAAAAAAGAGCTAAAAAAGAACTGTGGCTCTAGTTCTGTGTTTGGCATGTGGTTTGGAGGGTGTTTTTCTTTCCTGAATTTTCTTGGTCTATTGTTCTAAGCATGATTATTGGTTTTTTCCCCCTCTGACTCTTAAAAATGAATATGGATTTTTGCCGGATGGTGGCGCATGCCTTTAATCCCAGCACTTGGGAGGCAGAGGCAGGCGGATCTCTGTGAGTTTGAGGCCAGCCTGGTCTACACAGCTAATTCCAGGACAGGATCCAAAGCTACAGAGAAACCCTGCCTCAAAAAAAAAAAAAAGTATATGGATTTTTGAAAAGTAATCTGTGTATAACTTCAACCTAATACTAATTTCTGTTAAATATTTCAGAGAGTAGCAGATCGACTCTATGGTGTGTATAAAGTACATGGGAATTATGGAAGAGTTTTTAGGTAAGTAACTTACAGAATTAAACACTTAGCTCTAATTGGCCTTTTGGCTTTAAAACTCATACAATGTATGAGTCAGGAGAGTACAATTTATTTATTTATATTCTCTAATACAACGTGTGTGTTCACATGTGAGTAGGTGCATGTGTTGAATGGTGTGTACATGTTGAAGTGTATGTACATATGTGTAGAATCCAGAGGTTTGTAGTAAGATTTTTTTTTTTTTGGACTGTCAGCCCCAAACAATAACACAGAGACTTAATATTGATTGTAGCTCAGCTTAGCTTAGGCTTGTCCCACTAGCTCTTTTAACTTAAATTAATCCTTTTATATTAATGTACATTTTGCCTCATGATTTTGTACCTTTCTTTCATTCTGTATGTCTCTCTGTGTCTCATTGGTGTCTCTCTTGTGCACCTAGAATGATCCCGAGTTCCCCTCTTTTTCCTGGAAGTCCCTCCTATCTCTCCTGCCTAGCTATTGGCCATTCAGCTTTCTATCACGTAAATCACAACAAGACATCTTCACACAGTGTACAAAATCCCACAACAGAGGTTAGCATTGGGTATCATTTGATTGCTCTTCACCTTATTCGTCGAGGTAGGTTCTCTTACTTGACACTAGAGCTCACCAGTTTAGATTAGTCTAGCCAGCCAGCTTGCTCTGTCCCTGTGTCCCAAGTGCTGGCATCATAAGCAGGTTATCACGTAGAGGAGTCCTAGCTGTCCAAACTCTCTGATCCGCGGGCTCCCATGGTAAGTAATCCCTTTCCTCACTGAGCCGTCTCCATCGCTTCCTGGTTTCACCCTGTAGCTTTGGCTGGCCTGGAACTCCTTATGTTGTAGCCTAGGCGTATCTGAGACTTGCAGCAGTCCACCCACGTCTACTCTCAAGTGTTGAGATTTACAGATTCAGTGATGTCCTACACTAATAGCTTTCACGTGTCTAGTAAGCGCCTTCATTTTAAAGTCATTTCGTAAACAAAAGTGTCGAGGGAATTCTACAAGTTGGGGGACAGAGGCCTTCTACTTTCTCTGCTGATGGCCTGGTGAGAATGAGTCACTGAAACCCCTGTCTAATAGATTATATACTTTCTCTTTCTTTGTTTTTTCCATTTATGATTTATGAAGACTTTAGCAAGATAAGTTTTTGAATCTTATGATATTTTAGTAATTTGAATACTTATGTAAGGGCTGGAGGTATATCTCAGTGTTAGAACAGTTGTCTAGTCTATGAGGCCCTGGCTTCAACCCTCAGTACCAAAGTGGGGAGGGTGGTATATGTGTGTATGTGTGTATGACTTGCATGTTTTGGTTAATTGTTTTTAGTTTATTTATATTAGGAGTGTTTTGCCAGCAAGTGTGTATGTGTATATGTACCTAGTGCCTATGGAGGCCCAAAGTTCCTCTGGAACTAGAGCTGCAGATATTTGTGAGCTGCCATGTGGATGCTGGGACTCAAACCCAGGTCTTTAGAGACAGGGTCTTACTCACTTTGTATACCAGGAAAGCCTTGAACTTGCAGGATCTGCCTGCCTCTGTGTCTGCAGTGCTGGTGTTAAGGCTGTGCCACCATCCCAATCCCAGCTTTAAATTCTTTTCTTTTGTAAATTTTCTTTTATGGGGGTGGTCCTTTTCCTTATTATTTTTGTTTCTTTGTTGTTTTTTGAGATAGAGCCTCATGTAGCCAGACTGGCCTTAAATTTGTCACGTAGTCAAAGATGACCTTGAACTTGTGGTTCTCCTGCCCCTACCTTTCAAGTGCTTGAATATCAGATGTGCACCATGTTTAACGCGATAATCAGGCCTTGTACCGACTGAGCTGCAGCCCTAACTTTGTGTATTTGTCTTCTTACCCTTAATTATTAAATTTTAAGGTAAAATCAGTACACTTGAGTCGGGGACAATAATCCACTTGTGGGTCCTAGCTAGAAAAAGGTCTTGTGAGCACGCTGGGAGTACTACCCTGAGAGCTAGTTCATAGCGCTTCTGTTGTTTCTTCCAGTGAGTGGAGTGCCATAGAAAAGGAAATGGGCGACGGGCTGCAGAGTGCCGGGCACCACATGGACGTGTGAGTAACTTAAGAACTATGTAGCTGGGCTTGCTCAGTGGGGAGTGCTGGTTACTCGCCGGTTTATAGCAAGTTAACTGGCATTTCTAGTTATGGTTTGCACGTATAGAAAGAACTTGTTTCTCTAGGTATGCAAGATTGGTTTATACATGTATTCTGAAACTGTCTACTTCATATAGTAACAAAGTAAAGATAAAAATCTGTAGCCAGGTGGTGGTAATGCACACCTTTAATCCCAGTACTCGGGTGACAGAGGCAGGTGGATCTCCATGAGGCCAGCCTGGTCTACAACGGGGTGAGTTCCAGGACAACCAGTTCTACACAGAGAAATTCTGTCTTGAAAAAACAACAACAACAAAAAAAAGAGTTCAATTGAAGACAATTAAGTCCAAAAATAGATGCATACTTTTCTTTTTTATTTTAAAAAATTATTTATTTATTATGTATATAGTTTTCTGTCTGTGTGTATGTCTGCAGGCCAGAAGAGGGCACCAGACCTCATTACAGATGGTTGTGAGCCACCATGTGGTTGCCGGGAATTGAACTTAGGACCTTTGGAAGAGCAGGCAATGCTCTTAACCACTGAACTATCTCTCCAGCCCCCAGATGCATACTTTTCTATAGTGAACTTTAAAAGCACTGCTGGAAAAATAGATTGCTACACAGAGAAGACGAAAAAAAAAAAAACCTCTGAACCAAATCTCACTTTATATAAAATATAATTCAATTTTTATAAAATATACAAACATATTTAGATCTTTTATATTCATTATAATAAAATTAAAATTGTAGCCTTTAGGACAATATTGAAGAGAGTGTATAGAGGAAAAAGTACTATTTTAATTTTTTAATTTTTTTAAGGCATAGTCCTGGATGTCATGGAATTCACTATATAAATGAGCCTGACCTGGTCTAGAACTCAGATTTGCCTGTCTCTGCATACGAAATGCTGGGATTAAAGCTGTGCATCACCATGCCTAGCATAGGAAAAGAACTCTTAATTTTAAATTGATAGAAGTTAATGCTGCATAAGGTACCTCATCCAGTAGAGAAGCTGAAAAAGTTCTGGAGATAGTTGATACAGCACACATGTACCTAATTCTACTGAAGTCTGCACTTACACTTTGTCCCAGGACTGGAGATACAGGGCAGCTGGTGTAGGGTACTTGCCTAGCATGTACAAGTCTTTGGGTTCCATCTCCAGCACCATGTAAAACCAGTTATGGTGGGATGCACGGCATCCCAGCACTGGGAAAGTGGGACCAGAAGTTCAAGGTCATCCCTGTCTGCACAGGGAGTTTGAGGACAGTTACATGAGACCCTGCCTCAAAAAAATTCCTTTGAAGATAAATTTTATGCATTTTTTTTCTATGAAAAATTTCAAATTAAATAAAGAAAAGATGGGGCTGGAGAGATGACTCAGAGATTCAGAGCACTGGTTGCTGTTCCAGAGGTCCTGAGTTCAGTTCCCAGCAACCACTTGGTGGCTCACAGCCATCTGTAATGAGATCTGGTGCCCTCTTCTGGTGTGCATGTATACATGCAGGCGAAACACTGTATACGTAATTAAATAAATAAATTCTAAAAAAGAAAGAAAAGACAGAAGTAAGGCAGATGAGGTAGTCAGTGGGCAAAGGCCCTTGTTTCCAAGCCTGGTGAGTTTAAGTTTGAGTCCCAGGTCCCACATCCTAGAAGAAAAGGACCAATTCCCAAGAGTTGTTCTCTGTCCTCTTCACCATGCCCCATGGCACACATGTGCCCCTTATGTAAATAAAATGTAATTGCCATATTTATTGATTGATTGATTGTTACTTTTAAAATTTTTTTTATTGATTTTTATTGAGCTCTATATTTTCTCTGCTCCTCTCCCTGCCTCTCCCCTCCTCTTCAACCCTCTCCCATGGTCTCCATGCTCCCAATTTACTCAGGGCATCCTGTCCTTTTTCTACTTCCCATGTAGATTAGATCCATGCATGTCTCTCTTAGGGTCCTCATTGCTGTCTAGGTTCTCTGGGATTGTGATTTGTAGGCTGGTTTTCTTTGGCTTATGTTTAAAAACCACTTATGAGTGAGTACATATGATGATTGTCTTTCTGGACCTGGGTTACCTCACTCAAAATGATGTTTTCCAGCTCCATCCATTTGCCTGCAAATTTCAAGATATCGTTAATTTTTCTACTGTGTAGTATAGAAGGAGCAGCGGGCTGTGTTCCTACCCAGATCCCAGCTAGCTTAACCCCGAAATAATCACAGAAACTGTATTCATTTGAACACTGCCTGGCCCATTAGTTCTAGCCTCTTATTGGCTAACTCTCACATATTGACTAACCCATATCTAATAATCTGTATGCCACCACAAGGTCATGACTTACCCACATGAGTCTAACCAGTGTCCATCTTGGGAAGGGGAATCATGGCGTTTGCCTCATTGCCTTCTTCCCAGCATTCTGTTCTGTCTACTCCACCCACCTATGTTCTGACCTATCAGGCCAAGAAGTTTTTTATTAATTAACCAATGAAAGCAACACATAGAAAGAAGACCCACCTACATCAGTGTAGTATCCATTGTATAAATATACCACATTTTCCTTATCCATCCTTCAGTCAAAGGGCAACTATGTTCATAGCAGCATTGTTTGTCATAGCCAGATCCTGGTAATTGCCATATTTAAATAGCTACTTTAAACGAATAATAAAAAGAAAAAAGGTCTTAAATATTCTCATCATGAAAAAGGTGAGTATGTCGTAATGGATATGTTACCTGCTTGCCTTAGTCATGCCATACGACTACCTATATGAAGCCATCACTTTTATATTGTGAATGCACAGTCTTTATCAGTGCAGCTCAAGCTATTCGGTGGTAGGAAAATGCTTTATTTAAAATAAATATTACTTTTCCTTATGCCATATTCAAGCTAACTAGCTTTTTTTAAAGATTTAAAAAAAAAACTTATTAGCTGGGTGGTGGTGGTGCACACTGTTAATCCGAGCACTCAGGAGGCAGAGGCAGGTGGATCTCTGTGAGTTCGAGGCCAGCCTGGTCTTCAGAGTGAGTTCCAGGACAGTCAAGGCTACACAGAGAAACTCAGTCTCAAAAACAAAGCAAACAAATTTACTTATGTTTGTGTGTGTATGTGCCTGTGAGTGTATGTTCGAGCTGTGTGTGTGCAGATGCCACTGATGCCGGGAGAGGGTGTGGGATCCCCTGGAGATGGACTTACAGTGCTTTTAAGCTGCCACTTGCTTTAAATATTAATTTTTGTTGACACAGAGTTACTGTGTTTCCTAACAGGTACGCATCCTCTATTGATGATATTCTGGAAGATGAGGAGCATTATGCAGACCAGCTGAAGGAGTATCTCTTCTACGCAGAAGCGCTGCGGTGAGTTTAATGACAGCCCAAAAACGTAGACAGTAGGCTCCTTCTTAAGTGAGTTGACTGTCAGGCCCCTTAATGAGATCCCAGTGTATTCCCTTCTCAGGCATGAAACCAGAAGTTCCACTCTTCAAGTATCTTCTTGACAGAACTTTTCTGTTCGTGCTACTGGCCTGTCTGTTTCTTCCTGCTTTTTTCATTTTGAAGATCGGGAACAAGATACAGGCTGAGTGTGTAGAGCCCTACAGAGACAAACAGAATTCCCTGCTAGACAGACTTATTGGATAAGAAAAAGTTAGCATTTTTTCCTCCTTTCTTCTTAGTTGCTTTTCTGTTGCATTGAAGAGATGCTGTTACCAAGGCAGCTCACGAAAGAAATCACTTAATTGTGACCTTGGGAGGGTTAGTCCCTGAACACCATGGTGGGAGCATTGAGGTAGGAGGCAGGCAGCAGGCAGCAGGCAGGCAGGCAGGCAGGCGGCAGGCAGGCAGGCAGGCAGGCAGGCAGGCAGCAGGCAGGCAGGCAGGCAGGCAGCAGGCAGCAGGCAGGCAGGCAGGCAGGCAGGCAGGCAGGCAGTCACAGTAACTTAGAGTTTACATCTGATCCACAAACAGCAGGAAGAGAGAAACAGGGAGCTGACCTGAGTGACATGGGCTTTGAAGCCTCAGAGCAACCCCAGCGACACGCCTGCTGATCCTTCCTGTGTCATCAGCTGGGGACCAGTCATTCATATCTATGGGCCTAGAGGCACTATTCTCCTTCAAACCACCACTCTTTTCTTTCTTCCTTTCTTGGATTTTTTTTTTTTTAAATTCAGGTTAGGAAAACCATTTTTCTGAAAGGGTTATTGGCTTTTGATTAGTTTTCTGTCACGTTGAAGAGCAGTATAAGAATTCTGGTGTGTTGAAGACAGGGCACAGTGTGCACACCCTTAGTCACAGTGCTCAGGAGGCAGCCGATCTCTGAGGTCAAGGCCTTGTCTACATAGTGAGTTCCAGGCCAGCCAGGGGCTACATAGTAAGAAAAGCCTGTTTCTAAATTGAATGAAGAAAATAAAAAGAAGTAGAACTCTTTTGGGGGGCTGGAGAGTTGGCTCAGTGGTTGAGAGTTTTACTGCTCTTCCAGAAGACCAGGTTCAATTCCCAGTACCTATGTATGTCAGGCAGCTTACAACTAACTAGCTGTAACTCCAGCTCCAGGAGCTCCGCTGCCTCTGATCTCTAGGTATCTGCACTCACATGAACACACAAACACATGCACACACACACAGAATTCAAAGTAAAAATTTTAAAAAAAAAGAAGTTTACTGGGCAGACAGAAGAACTGTATTCTTTAGCTTGTCAGTATGAAAACATCGGCAGGTAGTTAGCTTTTTCCTTAACTGCTCTGTGTTTCACCAAGGTGTTTTCAAGTTATGAAGCAAAAGAGAATTGTTGCATACAGTGAAATTCTGTGTAGTTCCTACAAATCATAAAAACGATTACTGTGGATTGACATGGAACGGCGCCCACTGTTTGTGGCTAAGTGTGAAAGTATAGATGCGGTAGAGGTGTGGGTATGTGTCATAAGTGCCTAACTGAGTTCTGGAAGATTAGACACACTTTGTGTGCATTGTGTGTGTACAGTGGGATTGTGGGTGTTTTTTGGAACTGTTCCTATTTTGTGCATTTCTGTATTGGAATTGTCACAATAAGCGTAGTTCATTATGATGATGATTTAAAGCTAAGATATGTCTAGATAGAAAAGGAAGACAACTTTGAGATCTTACCCTATCAAAGATGTTCACTTGCCCCAGGAGACCGGAGTGTGAGCTCCTGAGTTGGGTGTGGTGGTGCATACCCATAACCCTCAGCTCAGGAGGCAGAGGCAAGAGGGTTTGAAATTCAAAGACAACTGTGACTGTACCTAATGAGACTGTTGCAGAAAGAGAGTTTGAACGATTGATAATGGTGTGTTTACCGAAAATAATTATATAAGCTACCTTTGTCTTTGGATACGTAAAGTTTTTATGCTTAGATACAGTTAGATTTAATTTTCAAGCTTGGACTACTACATTTTAAACATGAAAGTTACAAAAGGTCATAAAAGCCCTGGACCTGGTTAGTATTATTAATGCCTCTCCTGCACCCCTGAAACATTTCTAATATATTAAAGAAAAACTTAATGACTGTGCTTGCTCACCCCAAGGGCTGTGTGCAGGAAGCATGAGCTCATGCAGTATGACTTGGAGACGGCTGCTCAGGACCTGGCTTCCAAGAAGCAGCAGTGCGAGGAGCTGGCCACTGGGGTGAGTGTTGCTCAGGGCTCTGCTGCTGCAGAGGCCAGAGTGCAGTTGTGATGAGCAGGAGGATCATGAGGGGAACTGTAGAATTTTTTCATTGCTTTTTTTTTTCCTGGAATGGTTTAATACAGATTACAGAATAATTGCATAGGATACAATGTGTTGGCTTCCCTTGTCTTTCTTTTTTTAAGCTGTGTGTGTGTGTGTGTACGCGCGCGTGCTGCATGAGTACAGTACCTGCAGAAGGCCGAAGAAGGCATTTGGATCCCTTAGAACTCCTTAGGAGTTGAAGGCAGTTGTGAGTCACTGTCCTCCTAATGTGGATGCTGGAACTGAACCCAGGTCTTCTGAAATAGCAGCTGATACTCTAACCACTGAACCGTCTCTCCTGCCCCTTTTGGTTGCTTTCTTGATTAAAAAAAAAGATAGCAGTCAGGGCTGGAGAGATGGCTCAGCAGTTAAGAGCATTGGCCGTTCTTCCAGAAGACCTGGGTTCAATTCCCAGCACCCCAATGGCAGCTCACAGCTATCTGTAACTCCAGTTCCAAGGGACCTGATGCCCTCATATGCAGGTAAAACACTGATGTGCATAAAATAAAAATTAAAAAAAATGACAATCATCAAAACTATGCTTTTTTTAGTCCTTAGTCCTATCTAATTGGGCCAGGTGTTTTATAGGAATTTTAGTTCAGGAGCTGGGGAATACTCAGTGGCTAAGAGTGCTTACTGTTCTTGCAGAGAATCAGAAATTGATTCCTAGCACTTAAGCCGGGCAGCTCCCAATCACTTTTAAGTCCGGTCCCAAGGAAATCTGTGCCATATTTTGGCGTCTTTGTACGCCTGAATGCCCACACACATACACACAAATTTAAAAAATTAAAAATTTTTTAAAACTTAGTTTACTTTGGAAAGCCTTATTCAATCAGAATCTCTCCTAAGAAAGTCCTTTTAAACGTTTATGGTGTGGTTTGTGTGCTTTTGAAGAAAATTCGATATCTTGTATAAACCTCTCTGCAGCGCCCAGCAACCTGACTAGAATGCATCAGTTGACATGGCAAGAGACAGGTTCTCAGAACAGGGAGATAGCAAGTGCACGCTGCTCTCGGCCACTGGTTGACGACAAGCGCTGTAGTGCTAACAGTACCTTTCAGGATGCCCAGTGTGGTGCTGTGCGCCTTTAATGTCAGCACTGGGAGCAGAGACACCAGTGCTGTAATGACCATTTTCAAGTAGTGTCAAGTATAATTACATTGTTACAGCCAATCCTTAGAACACAGGCATTTTATGAAGCTAAATCCATTCCTGTTGAACAGCTTCCATCCTCTTCTCCCAGCCCTAGAAACCACAGTCCACTTTTACTGCTGGTTTGACCCCTTTAGCTACCCCACTTGCGTGCGATCAGACAGTGTTTGTCTTTGTGGCTGTCATCCCCATTGTCATAATGCCATCCGTATTCATCTGTGTTGTAGTACACGCCAGAATCCTCGCATTTTTAGCTGAGTAATACCCGTTGTGTATGTTCACGCCTTGTCGGTTCGTTTGTTTCTGTTCCCTTTTAGACTGTGAGAACATTCTCATTGAAGGGAATGACCACCAAACTCTTTGGTCAGGAAGCTCCAGAGCAGAGAGAAGCCAGAGTAAAGGTGCTAGAGGAGCAGATCAATGAAGGGGAGCAGCAGCTGAAGTCCAAAAACCTGGAAAGCAGGTAAAACGCTGCTGCTCAGCAAGGCTACCTGTGACGGACATGTGTTCTCTAGTGACAGCGCCCGGATGCCACCCGTGTGCTCACTGCACAGCTGGAGTAACGAAAACCATGTGTAGTGAGGGGCAGGGAGGGGGTAGGGCATCGGCTTTGTAATTTTTGTTCTTATACTTTTCATGATTCTTATTCTTTGCGCATTCTCTGAGCCCTTTCTTTAGCCCCATTTAATAAAACCTGATCCTGCAGACACAACACAAGTGCCTTCACCGACTATCACGGCACGGAACTTGTTCTTCTGTGGTCTTACCGTTGGCACTGGGGGGTAGGTGGTCAGTGATTGTCTCTGGCAGTTTGTGGGACCTTCAGAGTCAGGAACTGTGAGAGTTGTGCCCCCTTCTTAGCTTGGAATGTACTTGTTTCATAAATATTTCTGGAGATTTTATTGGTGAGGGTTGGGGGCTTAGTCACACTGTGTTACTCAGGCTCGTGAACTCCCAGGGTCCAGGTTCCCTTCCCCTTAACCTCCCTAGTAGCTGGGGCTACAGGTACTTGTCACTGAGCTCAGCAGTCAGAGTTTCAGAGCCAGATTGTCATTTAAGATTTGTTTATTTTTATTATATATATATATATATATGAGTATTTTGCCTCACATACATGTATACACAGTGTACATGCCTAGTGGGCATGAAGGTCAGAAGGGGTGTCAGGTCCTCTGGAACTAGGGTTACAGACAGTTTTGAGCTGCCATGTCGCTACTGGGAATTGAACCCAGGTCTTCTTCAAGAACATTAACCACTGAACCATCTCTCCAGCTCCAAGTTGTCATTTAAATCATACACATGCTACAGGATTCATAATCAATGTATGTTTTCCAGTGGTCCAAGGCAGACATTTCCTGTGGCATCTATATGGCTGTAAGTGGGTCGAGGAGCCATCCATATCTGTCTGAAGGCAGAGCTGTGGCAAAAAGTATTAATGTTTGTAGAGATAGTAGGCATAATGTGGAAGACTATTCAGATACTTGTTTTCCACTCACATCTTAGGGAAAGGAAAAATAGGTATCTTATATAGCAAGCAGAGACAGCCTGAGGCAATGTAAAGATGTCTGCTTACTCCAGTTAGGGCCCAGATGACACACCAAAGAGACATTTCACTTGGTGAACCCTTGAGTTCATTGGGGTTAATTACAGTAACATGGACTCATGAAGGTCACACCGCTGGATCTCCTGCCCAGCTTGCAGACAGCTCCACAGAAGTGATTGTTTCCCTGGGAGTTTGCTCACTGCCTCTGTGACCTGCGGAAGGAGCCTTGTACATTTTGCAGCTTTCTGAGAGTCCAGAGCCTTACTAGTGACCTTAGTGTCCCTCCTCCCTGTAGCAAAATGTGTTTCAGCTTGGAAGAAATGACTGCTTGAACTGGGTGGTTGGGTTTGTAATGCACAGTGGCTTTAAATGAGAATAAGCATGGCTGTGTGTTTGATTTCAGAGAATTTGTGAAGAATGCATGGGCTGATATCGAGCGCTTCAAAGAGCAGAAGAACCGGGACCTAAAGGAAGCCCTCATCAGCTATGCCGTCATGCAGATCAGCATGTGCAAAAAGGTAGCCAGCCCTCGTGAGGATGCGGCTATGGCTGCAGCGTCAGCTGGTTCAGGAGTGCATGCCTGCTAGGGAGGCAGCTTAGTTAGGAGAGTGGGCTTGTGAGAACCTCTCGGAGGTGGTCTGTGAGATGGCTCCTTGGGGAGAGGGACTGCTGTCCACTGGTGACTTAATGTCAGCCCCACTTCCCACACGGTAGAAGGTGAGACCTCACTCACTGCAGTGCTTGCAAGTATCTTCTGACCTCCGCACACACTGTGGCATGTGTGTGCCACACACCGAGACAAATGAAAATAAGAAGGGCTAGACAGACTGAGGAGAGCGGGCTCCTGTTTCATCCCGCCTTGTGGTCCTCTCTAGTGCACCACCACCTCCCAGCCTCTATGGCTAACTAGTGTGACTGCTGGGATTAAAGGTGTGTGCCACCACTGCCTGGCCTGTATTGCTGACTAGTGTGGTAGCTTTGCACTCTGATCTTCAGGCAAGCTTTACTTGTTAGATCATAAACAAAATATCACTATATCCATGCATATCCCTTTTTTTTTTCAAACCCATGTATGTGCCTTTGCTGAGCAAGAGCCTTGCACTGATCTACATTCACAGATGAAGTCATGCCGTGTACCTCAACCTGCCTTGAACTCACTATATAGTCCAAGCTTGACTTGATTCACTGTGTGTCCCAGGCTGGCCTGAAGCGCACTGTGCAGCACAGGTCTCCCTCAAGCTCTCATCTTGCCTCCATTTCCTAGGTGTTAAAATCAGGCATAAGCTGGGCTGTGGGGGCACACGCCTTTAATCCCAGCACTCAGGAGGCCATCTCTGAGTTCAAGGCTGTTCTGGTCTACAAAGTTGAGTTCCAGGATAGCCAGACTGATTCAAAGAAAAACCCTGTCTCGAAAAACCAAAATTAAAAGAAAAAAAAAGATTATACCACATCTGGTGCATAACAGGGTCTTTTTCTTTAGAAACTTAAAAATTAGGTGGCGAAAGTTAAGATTAACATTAGTTTATCTATGTTTTACATACGTAGTTACATATAATATCATTGTTGACATATCATTATTGATAAACTAACTTAGGTTCCTTGGCTATGACTGAATTGCAATAATGATGAAACAGCAAAAGCGCACAAATCACGAAGCATTTTAGTCAGTGGCTGGGCTGGGACTGTAGCTCTGTTAGCAGAGTGCTCGCCTAGCATGCCAGAGCCCTGCGCTTGGCCCCCAGCACTGCATACAGCTAGGCGTGCTGATGCACCTTATAGTCCTGGCTCTGGGGAGGGAGATCTGAGGCAGGAAGATCAAATGTTCCCACATACTGAGTTCAAGAGTAGCCTGTGCTATTTGAGCTTTGGAGTGGCTCTCCGACTCCAAAACAAAAAGGAAATAGTATTTGTTTTTGGTTAACCTTTGTAATAGTGAGTTATCTAATTTACCAAATCAAGTAGGCTAAAGCTTTTGGGTTTTCTTTTTTATTTCTTTAAAAGACTTCTTTTTATTTTTAATTGTGTGTATATATGTGTCTTATGTGTGGGTACCTGCACATGAGTGCAGGCACCTGAAGAGGCGTCAGCTCCCCCACAGCTGGGGTTAATTGTGAGCAGCCTGATGTGGGCACTGGGAACCAAGGTCAGGGCCTCTGCAAGGGCAGGACAGGCTCTTAGCCACTGAGCCAGCTCTCCAGCCCTAGGCTGAAGTTTAAAAATAAATACTGGACAGGTGCGGTTGCACACATGTTTAATTCTAGCACTCTGGAGGCAGAAGCAGGCAGGTCTCCGTGAGTTTGAAGCTCGTCTGGTCTGTATAGTGAGTTCCTGGCTATCCAGAGCTACATAATAAGACACCTGTCTCAAAACAAACAAGTTAAAAGTTGATTTTCATTTAGTTTATATAGCATATAGCACAGATATAATGAAAATTTTAGTGACTCGGAACATAGAAGTAAACACCCCCCACCACCACCATGATCCCTTTTAAAAGACATTCCTCTGTCACACATCAGTGTACATCTTTTTGGATGTTTAGGTAGCAGCAGTCACTTAGAAGATGCATGCATTTCTCCATCGCACAGACAAAGCTGCATTGTATGTGCTCATGTGAACTCTTATGGAACAGTGCTGAGACCTATCATATTTTTTTCTTTTATAAAAAAACACTTTTTATGTGGGAGATGGGGCATGCATGTGGGTCTTGGTGAGCCACCTCACCACTTTGTTTTCTTTTCTCAGGGTAGGGCCTAATGGTGTGACCCAGATTGGAGGAGTCCGGTGTCTTCCAAGCATAGGGTCCTATCATCTGCAGACAGGGACAGTTTGACATCTTTATCCCCTTCTGTGTCGCTTTGATGGCTTTCTCTCCCATTAGAGTGATGTTTTCAATTCCCCAGTCACCGCGATGTTGGTTGTAGGGTGTTGTGCAGAATCACATTGTAAGTTTCTTTTGTTTTCAGGGAATTCAAGTTTGGACCAATGCTAAGGAGTGCTTTAGCAAGATGTAGCCCGGGAAAGTGACTTTCTCTCCAATCAAAGTGCCCCAAAATGAAGCACAAGTAAAAAGAAATTCAGTTGCTACCTAATATACATAAAAGCATACAGTAAATTGAACAAATCAGCTTTCTTTAACTTAGTATAGTTGTGTTTATATAGCACAAAAGGATACATTTTAATGAAGAATAATTTGAGGTTTTGGGGACTGGTGCTGATTCCAAAAGTTAATTTATAAGATATACCAACAGATTATTCATCAGGCTTCTGAACCAATGACTGAGTGTCAGGGTGTTAGTTAATAACCACGTGCTCCTCTCGATGCCCGCTGTTCGGATCTCCTCATGTCGGGAGTCTCTCCAAGGTGACAGTCCTGTCTTTACTTGGTAGGACCCACTTCTGCTGTCGGGTTGTTTTATCTGCCTTATAGTTGAGCTGTTTAGTTTGACAAAGCTCAGCAGAAACTTATTGTGAAATCTGAGGTTTCCTTCCCTGTTCGTAGATCCCTGTACCATCTGCGCACACTAGAAAAAATGCCTTCAGTTTGTGTTTCACCAAAATTTTGATACTGGTCAGAAATTTTATACTGCCAACAAAGAAGTCTCGGCTTCTCAGATATGCAGTGGAGTAAATACATTATTATGATCTAGCAACCACTATATAGAAAGTTTTAATTGAACATTATTATCCTTAAATAATTGTTAACCTCAGCAACGAGCCTCCATTTCTTCTGCTTGGCTCTGTGCACATGGCATTTCAGGGTACGAGATGTAGCATTTCCATGTGTAAGACACTCATAATGAACATATGTGGGCTGGTACCTTCATCATTAATGTGCTTTTCTATTGCCTGGCTGTGGTTTTTGTAAAGATAAATTATGTTGTTGTGTTTTTAATGTGTGTGTCATGGTACATGTTCAGAAGCCAAGCACTCTCTCTGCCAGCTTGCAGAATATTAACTGTGCACTCATTATTTCTAATGTTTTAAAACTATACTCAGTACTGTTTAACATTTGACTTTTTTACATGTTTAAAATGTTGCTGGATTTTTGTGCTGTTTGCCAAACTTATACAATAAATAAAGAAAATGTGTGTTTATTTCCAAAAGATTCCTGTTATTTTACGATGATCCATGCATGTAAATATCGGATTTTTTTTAGTAGAAAATTATGCATGTCATATTTTTTAAATATTTATTTATTATGTATACAATATTCTGTCTGCGTGTATGTCTGCAGGCTAGAAGAGGGCACAAGACCTCATTACAGATGGTTGTGAGCCACCATGTGGTTGCTGGGATTGAACTCAGGACCTTTAGGAAGAGCAGGCAATGCTCTTAACCGCTGAGCCATCTCTCCAGCCCCCGTCATATTTTATTTTAAAGTTACCTAAATGTTGGTGTTTTGAAGCATAAGATGTTGCTATGGTTTGGGTTTTTTTGAGACAGGGTATCATATAGCCTTTGCTGATTCAGGAACTGGTTATGTAGACCAGGCTGGACTCAAAAGATCCACCTGCCTCTGCCTCCCAAGTGAGTGCTAGGATTAAAGGCATGAGCCACCAGGCCTGGATTTGCTGTGGTTTTTAAAAAGATAACATTTAAAAGCAAAAGTTGCCTGTGTGGATACACATTTTCTTCCTCTGTGTTCTAACCTCTTGATTAACAAAATACCCTTCTACATGGTAGTTAGAAGTCACATGCCAAAACTTGGGTTATAGCTTGTGACAGAGTGCTCACCTTCATATGTGCAAGGTTCTGGCTTGGGTTCCTAGTGCCACACACAAGGAAAGGACAAGCTTGATGTCACTGTGTGTGTATGCATATGAATATGAATTAGGATAGAATGTGCCTTTTCTAAAGCATTGCAAACACTTGGTTGTATTTGGCTGGGGACTGTCTTGATGGGTTCTGTTACTCAATTTTACAGAACTCATAAGGGAATTTTATTGTAGACTTTATATTATCTAGATAAAATAGTCTAGGGTCAAAGAGACAGCTCAGCGGGTAAAGCTGCTGCTGCCCCGCTACTGCTGTGCCCACCAGCCTGGGTTTGATCCTGAGACCCATGTCCTGGAAGGAGGGAACGACTTCTGCAGATTGTCATCTGACCACCACACCAGTGCCATGGCACAAGCGCGCGCGCGCACACACACACACACACACACACACACACACACACAAAATGATATGTAAAAATCAGAATGGATTAGTAAAAGCGAAGTGTTTTCCAAAGATAGATGTAGACAGATAGTATGAGCAGTGAATAAGGAAAGTGACCCAGTGAGCTAACAGAAGTACTTAAAGACAGTTTGATAAGGTTGAAGTGCCAAAGTTGTATTTGACCTTCATTTACATCCAAATTAGCCATCACCTTCCTGTGAAAGCCTGAAGACAGATGTCATTGCGAATTACACGGAGCATTCCAAACAGGAACTGAGGGTGCCCATTTGAGCATCCTTAAACACAAAGTACCCAGCCTGAAATGAAGTAAGAAGTCAAGAGGTATAACAGGAGGCTGGAGAGATGGCTCAGTGGTTAAGAGCACCGGCTGTGTGTAACTACAGCTCCTGGGATCCAGTATCTGACTTTCCACGGGTTCTTGGTGTTCGTGTGCACATACCCAGTGCAGATACACACCTCCATGTAATTACAAGTAAGAACACTTAAATATATAAAACAGGAATGTTAGGCTTTTTCAATTATTTTTATCCTTTAGATTTTTATATATTGTTCAGCTGGTAACACACCATTAATCTCAGCTGGGAAGGCAGGTGGGCAAGTGGGTCTTGTGAGTTCAAAACCAGCCAGTTTACTTAGCATATTCCAGACCAGCCAGGGCTGCACCATAGTTAGAAAAAATTAGCTGGGCAGTGGTGGCACACACCTTTCATCCTAGCACTCGGGAGGCAGAGGCAGAGGCAGGTGGATCTCAGTGAGTTCGCCGTCAGTCTAGTGTAGAGTGAGTTCCAGAACACTGTTTCACAGAGAAACCCTGTCTGAGGTGGGGTAGGGGCGAAGGGGTTGAGATAGGATTTCTCTGTGTAACAGCCCTAGCTGTCCTGGAACTAGCTCCCGTAAACCAGGCTGGCCTTGATCACAGAGATCTCCTGCCTCTGCCTCCCAAGTGCAGATGAAAGTGCCCGATTTGTTTTCGTTTTTACTTCCCTCTGAGACCCCTAGAAAGTTTCTCCTAAGAAGATCAGAAATTTGTTACAGGGTTAACAAACCACAGAAAACAAAAAGGCTAACCCATGATTGTAATTTCTTCTTTTTTTATATATATATTTATTTATTTACTTATTATGTATACAATATTCTGTCTGCAGACCAGAAGAGGGCACCAGACCTCGTTACAGATGGTTGTGAGCCATCATGTGGTTTCCGGGAATTGAACTCAGGACCTCTGGAAGAACAGTCAGTGTTCTTAACCTCTGAGCCATCTCTCCAGCCCTGTAATTTCTTCTTAAATTATCTAGCTTTAGGTACATACTTGAAAGAAGGACACTAAAAGGAAAAACAGCACAAAAGTGACCATGCCTCAGCGCATAAGGTGAAGAACAATATAAAATGCCTGACTCAGCGTCTGCACGCACACGCGCGCGCGCACACACACGGCTTGTGCATGTAGGGGTAGAAAAGGTGATTTGCATTGTTGCTCATATTGCAAACTTTGAGCAGGAGGATCCCTTGGATACCACCAGGAGTGGATGCATGTATTGGAAGGCTTGGGCAAGCTATGAAGTGACTGTTAGTTCCTCAACTTTAGTGTCCTTATAAATCATGTGATCTAGTTGAAATATAAATTCTGATTGAGTGTTTTGGGCCTAGGGCATGAGCGTTGCATTTCTCCTGATAAAACTGAAGATTCATTTTGGCTAGTCTGGCAGACCAGGACCTTCTGGTTTCTGAGGGTACCTGTACACACAAGGCGTACTCACGCAAAGCTTTGTTTTTAGGTTTTGGTTTTATTTTGTATGTGTATGTTTTTCCTGCACACATGTGTGCCATTTGAATGTCTGAAACATTATTTCTGTGAGTGTATATAATGTTTCTAGAGATTAACATTGATCAGTAGACTGAACACAGAAGGGTGCCCACCTCAGGGTGGGTGAACAACATTGTTAAAGCTGTTGAGGGTTCAGGTACAGCACAAGGCTACTCTCAAAAAGAGTATAAGACAACCAGTATTGTTGATGGTGTAGGGAAACGGGGACCTTGGGCACCACTACAGGGATGTGACGAGAAACCTGACCTCTGGTGAAACTAAGCTGGGTATGTCTGCACAGGCCTGTGATCCCAGCAGTTGGAAAGGAGAAGCAGGAAGACCAGGAGTTCAAGGCCAGCCTTGGCAGCTTGGTCCCTCAAACTGAATCAAAACAAAAGTTGTTTGGTATTTGTTTGTTTGTTTGAGACAGGGTTTCTCTGTGCATCCCTGGCTGTCCTGGAACCAAAACAAAAGCTGTTTGTTTGTTTGTTTGAGACAGTGTTTCTCTATATATCCCTGTATCCTGGAACCTCCTACTGTAGACCAGACTGGCTTTAAACTGACAGCTGGAATTAAAGGTGTGTGCTACCACCACCCAGCTACAAAACATACGTTTTAACATGGAATCACCAGGCTAGGGATGTGGCTCTGTTGGTGGAGGGCTGGTGTAGCCAGGGAGCAGTCCTGAGTTGATCCATAACCTGGAAAAAAAATTAGCTTGATCTATACTCCCAGGCCAGGAGGTGGAGGCAGAGGATCAGAAGCTCATGGTGGTCCTCCTTGGTCACTTAGTAAGAGGACAGACTGAAGTGCACAGGAAGACCCGGCCTCCAGGGAAAGGAGAACTGCAACCACCAACCACCATATGGTCCGGTATCGCCATTTCTGAGTGAATCCCTGAAAGAACAGAAAGCAGGGTTTCCAAAGATGCCTACACCCATGCTCACAGCAGTATCCATAACAGCCAAAACATAGAAGCAACAAAAATACTGGACAAATGGATTTTAAAAATGAGGTATGCATATATAATGGAATGTCATATAACCTTGAAAAGGAGAGAATCCTGACAAGCTGTGAAGTGGGAAACCTTTACTGCATTACTCAGTATTAAGTAAGCCACAGATAGACAAACACTGTGATCACAGTTAGGTGGCACCGAAAGTCTCCCAACCACAGGAATTAGGAAGGTGGTTGCCAGACTTGGAGGTAGAATTTCAGATTATCAGGTGTATCATTCAGAGAGGTAGGGGTGTGTCTGTGTGTGTCCGTGTGTGTCTGTGTGTCTGTGTAGTATGTGCAGGTAAGAATCTGTCTCCGGTGCCAAGTGCATTGTTAGAAGCAGAGAGTGCACAGAGCCCAAGTGGAGTCCAGGTTGCTGAGCTACTCCCTATGCTCTCTTGCTTCACTGACCTCTACTCACAATTGTGAGTAGAGAGAGGAGAGAAGTCTTGATTTTATACCTACATCTCTATCTATATTTATAGTAAGTTGTAGATGAAAGTTTCTGTCCTGCCTGGTCCCGCGGCTGTCTGGTCCCAAAGAAACACACAGAGAGGCTTATGTTAATTATAAACTGTTTGGTCTATTAGCTCAGACTTATTACTAACTGGCTCTTACTACTTAAATTAGCCCACAATTCTTATCTGTGTTTAGCTACATGGCTTGGTACCTTTTCTCAGTAAGGCATTCTCATTTTACTTCCTGTGTGTCTGGGTGGTGATTGCAGATTGAGCCTTTCCTCTTCCCAGAATTCTCCTAGTCTGATTGCCCCACCTATGCTTCCTGCCTAGCCAATCGGCATCTTATTAAACCAATACGAGTGACAAATCTTTACGGGATACAAGAACATTATCCCACAGCAGTAAGTAGATTTATGTAACAGGTTACACCTCATTACGATGGACAGTCACATCAAAAATACTGGCCAACCCCAAAGAGAACACCAACACTGTCTCTTTTGCTGTGTCTGGGTGAAAACAGCGAGAACAGCTAGCTTTGTTCCCCTGCATCTGGGGCAGCTCAAATGAGAGCTCATTCCTAAATTTGGCCGATAAAGCCTTCCACCTCCATTGCCTCCTATTGTGCCACAGATCCAAAGAGCGGAGAAGGGTTAGAGCTTCA